ACTGACTCAAAGCTATCATACCAGAGGCCGACCTATATATTTATTATATCCGTATGAATCATATTCTGTGTGGACATTTTGTTGAGTAGCGCATAGCAACGTCGCTTTTGATGAGCGCAAACATATACCAGTGCCGGCAAATAAATGAGTGTGCGAAATTCTACACCCACACACAATCTCTCACAAAAAAAAAGAGGAAGAAAAATTAACAAAATGACGTATCGCAGTGTTGTAGGTCAAGAATTTCGGATGCAAATTGACAAAAAATGGCAAAATGCCCGAAATTTGCCGCTGCGGTATTTAGGTTTTGAAAACCAGCATGCCACAACAAATGCTAGCGATCGGTTGACAGAGTTAATGAAAACATAAAGTTGGGCAATTGTTACATATGTGAAGGCCTATTCGATAATAAATTATTTGTATGGCAATGTTGCAACACACCGATTGAAATAATAACACACATATGTCTGAGTATGTGGAAGACCGCAGACGCCACTTAAACACTCGTTAATTTCAGACAATTCACAAACGAACACACACGAGTAGAACATTTTGACGAGTCAACAGATTTTTGGAGTGACAATACAAGTCAAATAATGGGCGTCTGTTTAACGAACGACCAAAATAAGATGTCAAATAGTGGTGAGTTTTTTCTCTTCGTCAGGCCACTCCGCAGCTCGCATCCCACAAGCGCACATGTGTTAGAATCTGCAATTGTTGCTGGCAATGACAATTAAGCCATTTGTTGACAATTTATTGTTTGACATGCGGTTTTCCAGTTTTTTTTCTGCACTATTATTTTTTTGAAATTTTTATTAAATTTTCCTTTGTATCTCCAATTCTTTTTATTTCTTGTAGTAGCAGCGACAATGGCCTTGTGTGTTCTAATTAATTGACTGCCACTGTGTCCGTCTGCCTGAAACTTTTTTTGATACAGTTTACTTTATTTATTTATGGCTGCCAAGCGGCGACCAATGCGGTTGGTCATGAAAGTGTTGGAACTCAATAGTTCAAGTGCTTCATGTAATCAGAAATGATGTCATGACTAAGAATTTCGAAGGGAGAGAAGGAAAATTACGTGGCAAACTTTTTCTTGTTAATTTACTGTTGATTAGTCAGTTTTCTTTATGAGCGCGTGCATTTTCTTTGTTTCCGAATGCTGAAATAATTGAAAAATCGATTAAGCAACACGAACTCCAGCGATTTCATCGAAATTTTCAAATCAATAAACAAAGAAAATTACGCACAGTCTTTGAGGAGACCACGACACGAAGTGCAGTATTAATAGATTGCTCGGGAATATTTACGTCTCTAAGTGAGTTGAGCATAGCTCTGTTGCATGCAGGCGTTGAACTTGACGATGGAAGATAATTTATCGCAAGCTAAACTGTGTTCTTTGTCAGTGGGGGAGTAACATTCTTCATCTAATCTTATACTAATTCTAGATATAAAAATTGACAAAAATTGGAAAATTGTGGTATAGAATGTTGTTATTACCAGCTGTTTGCATTATTGCACTAGTTCATATTAGAATGGGAGAAGCCCCGTTATTATTACGAAGCAATCTGTGTAGACTTCAAAACGCATAAATTCGTTTCTCGTAACAGCTGTAGACGCGCGCAAGATGGTAATACAACTATTAAGAATTAAACTTTAAAGTTTTTCCTTAAGTCTTTATTATTGACATCAATATAGAATCCTTTTTGAATCATAACCTTAATCAACCTTATATTTTCGGCGCAACTTATATTAACATCTTTCGAAATGTGTGGAGCCGAACTACTAAAGTTATTAAAATCTCTTTAACGCTAATATGAAGATTTGCCATGCAATTTCCCTCATTTTTTTGTGCTTCAGTTCGTGAGAGGGTTTCAATGCAGAATTCGCATGATATATTTATTTTTACACACGGCCTCACACCATCAACCCATTGTGACTGTATTCCGATTAAATTAAACTCCCCAAAACGCTATATGACTTGTTCGCCGATTCACCAACTTTCGGGTGCAGGACAATCAGCAGCAATTAAAATCGGTCGGCAACAAATTTTCGGAATCATGTCTACTTTTCGGCCGCAAAGTGAAAAATTGTCTAGAAAAAGGTAATAACGAGAATTCGAGCACTTTTCGAACAGTTGATTGTTTTATATTCTCAATTGTAGATTTTTGGTTGAATTTCCAAGCATAATATGCTCTCCAAAATACTAGCAAAAAGTGTTGGTAAAAATATTTCATCAAGAATCATCAGAACCACTCTTTACTTAGTTCATGTTCATCTCTCGGTAGATTATGTAAAACCTTGAACTCATAAAGTGTTTTAAGTATTTTCATTTCAACCACTTGACCTTAAAAATTTCTTGACTAACCTTAGTCATTATCGGCTTAAGACCACAAATGTGAGAGTGCAACACTAATAGGTGGTAACTATCCAGCCTTTCAAAACAGCCTGCTCAACCGCTTCCTTATTGCGTTTGTCTAAGTATTATATCTACCCTTTCTAATAAAGTCTAGCTCTTCACAAGCTTCCTTATGTAAATAAACATATATTTCGACCCTACCCATAAATGGTTTTGGAAAAATCAATGACCGCCGCAACTCAAACTCTCAACTCCTTTTAGTCATTAGGGAATTATTTATTCTGCAGACATGCGATTGAATTGTGAAAAGTGCGCACACGTGGAAAACAGAACGTGAAACCTGGAAACGGCAGCCGTGGCACGAATGTACACTACCAACGGTATACAATAGTACATAAAGACACACGCACATATATATGAATGTTTTCGGTTTTTCGTGGAAATGACTCAACAGTGCCACTGTGGTAAATTTTCATGTCGTTATTGTTTCGACGGGAGTTCCTTTGGTCTCCGACACCTCTTCGGTAGTGCCGACAAAGAAACTCTTGTGTTTTGCTTGACATTTTTTTTTATAGAAAACAAAGTTTGCAGCAAGAATCGACGGACGTGGTGGCATGACAAATCGCTGTCAAATAAAGATATATGTATGTACATACATACATATCTACATACAATGTTAATGCATAAAATATGTACGCACGAATACATGCCATAGATAAACATACATACATACAAGTATGTACATATGTATATTCTGTTCGAGAACTAATATCATACTTACATATTTGTATTTACTTTTTGTTTGCGAATTTTACGGCCCTACTCGTATGAATCACGCTTGATATTAAGCAGAACACGTTTTTCGTTGATGTCAAGACCAAAATTGTTATATAAATGTATATATAGTTTATGGATATGAAGTATTGAGCAGCCGAATGCACTCGATCCGAATAAGAAAATAAAAAAATATGGAAAAGATTAAAGAAACCTAGTACCACATTTTATTTCATCAAATTTCTTCGTGTCACGGCCTTGCAAGAACATTCCATAGTAAGAGAAAGAAAGTAAACTGTGTGCCTCGAACATCAAAAATTAGTTTTCGGCAACAGAAGATATAATATTCCATTTAAAGGGAAAATACGCTTTTTTTGTGATTGTTTTTTTGGGTGATTTATTTTGAAAAATTTTGGATTGAAACCGTAGCCGACTTCCTGGAGAAACTCCTTAAAAAAGTGTCTGGCGGTGAGGCAGAGTTTTCTGTTTAAAATTATCTCAAATCCAAAAACCACAAAAAAATAGTATTACTATAGATAAATACAGGTTATGATCGAAGAAATAATTTGATTCTGACAAAATGGCAGCTTCCAAAAAATAGTTTTTTGTGAAAAAAATCTAAATTATTATCTAATGTGCAATCTTAGTCCGTCGATCTTTTTCTGCGAAATATATTTGGAAGATCGTGTGAAAATTTTAAACCGAACAATACAGTCGTTTCGAACAAAATTTCCACACCGACTTTGAAAACGCGTTTAAAGTTTTGAGAGCCGATAACACTAAGTTAAAAAACTAATGTATTTGTAATGTAAAAATAATGTATTTCAAAGATTCACAAATGGATATAACCCATTAAAAGGGTTGATAACATCCGCGCAAGGATTGCCAGAGAAATTTGAGTTTTTTTAATGTGCTTATTGAAATTTTATTTTTCGAAAATTAAATGCATTAGAAAATTCGAAATTATTTTTTTAACTTTTAATGAAAAATACCGCAAAGATTTTTTTTCAAAAAAAAATTAAATTTGTACGAAACGAATTTTTCAGATTATATTGTATATGTAGATACATATATGCATGTACGAAAAATAACGTTTTTCAAAATAACATTTCAGTGAATTTTATTATTCAAAAATGGGTGCATGCGTGTGTGCATATTTATTGCATGAAAAGAAATAAATGGTAAGCAGACACGCCCGTCTATTAGCTTGATGCATTGTTTGCCCTTTAATCGAGGAAGAGACTAACTACATATAATAATACCATTTTGGATAATTGCTTAAGTAATAATTAAAAGTATTTCTTTATATTTATATGTACATATGTACATACATACATACCCATGCATATTTAAACATTTTTATCGAATTTTTTTATAGTTAATTTGTAATTCAAAGTAATTTATTTTTTTTGTTTGTATACGGATTCACTTTAAGGAGTTACAGCTGCTTCTTAGATAACATTATATTATAAACACTTTTAAAATTACATATTTATACATATATGAGAATATATATGAGAATGTACATAAAAGATTATTTTATCAATACCCTCCTTATTTGCGGACTTTTTGCTACTTTTTCGATGCCAAACAGTAGCGATAAAAACCAATCGACAGTTGCCAGACACTTTTTCGCCGAACTACGTAGTCGTCCCCCGACCCCTACAAGACGCACGAAACCGACATTACGCTATCTTCTGGCATATGTACATATATACTATTTGTGCAAATAGTATTGGCGTGATAAGCTCATGTGTAACTTGTGACATATTGCTTATTTTTTTACTTTTTTACACATACTTATCTACATTCTTACATACATACGTATGTCTACACATACATACTTTCATTTAAATACAAATTTACATACCATAGGTCTGTGAAAACATTTCCCAGCCGCAGATTGCAACGCTTGATAAACACACATACATAAGCATATATGTATGTACAAATATTTTTGTTCATTCAAACCAAGGCATTGACAGAAATTTCTACGCACATTATCACACACTACACTCTCTCACATGTAAATATGTATTTCATAAACACTAAATTTCCCAAGCATTGCACTTTTCAATCACAACAACCCGAGCGGCTAATCATTAAGGCATTTTTAGAATCAATAGATTTTCCACAACAATAACAACAATGCAATCACAAAACGAACGGAAGCATTTAGCAAAACTGCGGTTGCGACGGAAGAAAATGTACGCACTATTCAGGAAAGTTTACACAAATCCAATATACATGTGTATGTGTTTACGTATACGCAAGAATTTAGCAATACACGAGAAATACACTTAAGCGCTAGTGGTGGCACAAAAAACCGAAAATTATGAACAAAACTTCCGCACACGTCGTTATCGCATCGCAGAATATTGCAAACTCTCCAGCAAAAGTGCCGTAGTCGTCTTTAATCTAGCGGTGGTCGTTCTCTGGTTGTTGTTTTACTTTTCTAAAGGTACGCAAACCGAAAACATAAAGGAAAACACTGATAATTGCATAGGCACACAAGGAATGCGAGCGCTTCGACGGAGTGACGGCGGCCGCGGCCTCGATTGAATCTCTACAAGGCTGGCCGTGAGCGCCTCTGCAGCGGCTACTGCTCACAAATGTATTTAGCTCGGTAAACAAGCTCAGCTGATTTGTGGGGTTGACAGCTGTCAGAGGGCGCGTTTTTGGAGATTTTCATTTAATGTTCTGCAAGAGAGAACACGTTTACGCAATGCGCATGCATCGAGGGGTGGTTCATACAACAGTGTGTATGGTCTTTACGTTCACCTTTTAGTAGTTGATTTCAGCTTCCACATTAACCTTTTCAACAGAAAATTTGCTAGGTGCACTCACAAAGTACGTATTAGAGAGACAATTTTTCCATAGTTCTTTTTTAGTAGAATCTCATGTTTATAAAATCATTAAAGTACCAGTAAAAGTTTTAGTAACCTTAGCCGATCCAGTACCGGGATAACCTCAGTTATTTCGCACAACACTACTTTCTGCATTAAAATATAGAATCTTCTTTTCAACAGTTTAAAGAACCTTTGTGTCAGTTTAATTAATTTATTTTAATGTTAATAAAAAAATAACGATTTAATAAGAAAAAAAATTACCGAATCCTTCCGCTAATATAAGCCAAAAGAGAGATAAGGGATTGGCCTAGATTTTAAAAATAATTACAAATGGCAAGCTCAACAAAAATCAACTTTAAAGTCGAGATATTTTAACATTGCTACAAATATGTTTACATACAAGTATATTATATGTATATGTAATGTACTTTTTTCAAAATATGATATTTCTAAAAATTCGTGTCAAACAACATACTTTTTAATGCACGGTAAGTAATTCGTCGCATTGGCAGGCATATGAATTTTACAACCTCTACTTTCAGCTGCAGTCTAAGCGTAATCGTTTTTTATTTTTATTTTATAATTTTTTGCTTAATAAGTTACACAGTTCCTAAGAATTATAGTGTTTAATATGCGCTCAGCAAGAAATGTAAAAATAAAACGATAAACAGCGACAATGACACACTGACAGAAAACATGATTAATTTTTGAACGCCGAACAACTGTTCTAATCGCTGTTGTTGTTATTTCATTGGTGGTGTACTCATTCCCTTTTCCAATAAGCTACAGAGTCGCGACAAAAACACACTGTTGATAAGAAATGTTAGCAAATTAATCGAGCGAACGAGTTATTGCACACTCGTTCTTACAAACACATTCCCTCAAATATACAGATGACACCCACACACATATATGTAAGTATGTATGGTATGTTTGTGTAAACGTGTTAATTAGTAAGCATATCATTATTGTAACTTTTGTTTTGACAAACCTTTTCTCTTCCTCCGTTTCCTTTATCACTTTCAGGCGCTGTCTGTCAGCCTGCCTATGTGTGTGTGTAAGTGTTGCTGCGCTGAAAAACACTTTCCGTTTCCGCAAATGTTTGAATTAACAAAAAAATCTTTGCAAATTTTTGCAAGAAATATTTCACTTAATTTGAACACTATTCGCACGCATACAATTTCTTGAGATTAATTTTAAAATTGTGTAGCGTTTTATTTTGCGTACTTCACACAGAGTGATCACTGCCAAATCCACTTGAGAAATCACAACGAAATCAATTTGCAAGGCAGTTTTATAAAACTCCTTAAGCCGTCTTGAAATCAAACTTTATTTAAAACACCAAACGAAACGACAAGGCAGGCGCAAAACTTAAATGCAAAACACCGCAAACGGAGACGAAGACGGAAACCTCGCGACGCACTATCACGTTTAACAATCGCGACGACGAGCGCATTTGTTATATTCAAACGCAAATTCAAAGATCAACATGAGGCCGCGTCGCTGCTGCGGCAAGTCTAGGCAGACTGCAATGTTGCCGGCGCACATAAAAATCCCCGATGCAGATAAGAGAGGGTAATCTCAATTGAGGTATAATGGGTAGTGGGTATTTTCTTAAACTGAATGTGTACGTCCACATTTATAATTAAATACTAAAACATATACTAAAACAGTTAATATAAGTTGTTTTGTACGCGAAAAGTGCTATCAAATATTGTATAAGAATTTGATTAACATATACAATTAGCTACTTATGGCAGCATTAAACAACAGCTGTTCGCATGTATATTTTACCACTGCCTTCCAAATGTTTATTTTCCAAAATTTTTGTTTGTGCTTTATCAGTGTTTTATTTATTTTTTAACTTCTTCTACTTTATTGCCATATTTAAAAGCTACATGATATCAACCACGCAAAACCCTGTGAGGATTCCTCAAAGATTTTGCAATCAAAATTATTATGAAATCAAATTAAATCTTTTTTTAAACAAATGAGTACTTCTTGAATATCACATATGCCTAAGCGATGCTGAATATAGTTACAACACGTAATATATTATAATATAATGTAGTTTTCTTATAGCATAACTCCTTTCCTTAGAAAAGTTATCGATATGTAGTGAAAACATTTCCTAAATTTCTTGCGAACAATGTTGAGCAAAGTGGCAAACCTAAACATACAGTTTCAATAGCACCGTGAGCATTGAGTTGCTTTTGGTTACCCTATTTCAAGTTCACACGTTCGGCATTATCGAAAAGAGTGGTTAAAATCGGGATATCTATTGCAAGAGTCTAATTACAACTTTAAAATTCTATTGCTACCGTTATAAAATTGTAATAAATTAACTTTAAAAATGTCTTTCGAAGAGGTGAGTTGTTCAATTAATTAATATTTGCATATATTACAAAGTTATATTCCTACAGTTGCTACAAGACGCAGGTGAGTTAAGTAGATTCCTTGGCGAGGCTACACGTCCAAGAGTGCGAAATACTTTGTTACAAGCAAAAGCGGAGGTTGAGAAGGAAATTGTGAATTTAGAAATGAAACAACGAATTGCAGCAGAAAAAAAGGCAGTCGGAGCAACGCCAAAAAGGTAAACACATTTCCTATGAGCTTCTAGAAACATCTACGCGCCATACTATATGTTCACCTAGAACAATGTACATACATACTAAGTGCACATATGTTATTTATCATATTTATTTATATTGCATTCACCCACAGGTATTTGGTGGAATTGAATGAGTATGCATGGGATCAAAGTGACAAGTTTGTAAAGTTGTTCGTCACGTTGGAAGGTGTCCAAAACATTGACGAATCGAACGTTGTCGCCACCTTCAATGAAAATTCAATGGTTTTGCATGTTAGCGATCTGAATGGCAAAGATTACGGATTGACTATCAATAACTTGCTCGACAGCATCAATGTGGAGAAGAGCTATCGCAAAGTGAAACAAGGCATGGTGGCCATTTATATGAAGAAAAACAATGAAGGCAAGCACTGGGATCACTTAACTACCATACAAAAGCGTCTGAAGCAGAAATTAGATGATGAATTTAAGAACTCTGATGATGCCAACCCGGAAAATGCGCTCGTAAATATAATGAAGAAGATGTACAACAGCGGAGATTCGAAAACTAAACAAATGATTGCTAAAGCGTGGACTGAAGGCCAACAAAAAGCACACCTTGGGCAAGAGCCTGAAATGTAGTTTGAAAAGTTCAAAAAATGTTTACACTACACATACAATTTTTGTTTCTTATTAAGCAGTTCATAGTTACTTCGAATACGAAACAATACATTCTAATTTGCGATATTTTGTAGAGCATACTGGTATACAGATATTTATTTTTTTGTAATATTTTAAGTGATAATAGAAACAGATATTCCAAGAATAAAATATCGGTTGTTTTTATTGTTTTGCAGTGAGGGTTTGATTTAAGGTAAAATTTTTGAAGAATGATTATTTTGATACCCTGAAAAGATAAGTTTGCCACGAAGTTCGTACAAAGGAAAACATCGGAGACCCTACAAAGTATATACTCGAACTAGTCACACAGTTTTTTCTCTCCAAAAAGGTGCCCATTTGTAGGAACCGCCCGATATCGGCGACTATAGCATATAGTTGTCATACAAACTATTTTATCAGTAAAGGCTATAATAACTTCGGTGCAACCGAAATTAACGTTTTTTCTTGTTTATTACTGATATTCCCTCTCCGTTTTATGGAATTAGTTAGTTAGTTATGAAAAAAAAAATATTCCTTCTATCAACGTAATAAAGAATGTTCAATAATGTTAAGCCGCAGTTATGGCAAGTATATAGAGTCTATACTAGAGTAAGTAAAAATCTTAAGCTTTTTTTATAAGAAAATGGAAAGCGAAAATTGAACGACGTAAATAATAAACATTCAGTTCCAATACAAGGAAATATTTTCATATATCTTTATTTTATAAGTATGGAATGTTTATAACAATAGACGTATGTATGTATGCATGTATCAATTTGCTTTTTAACAAAATACAAATATTCATTCGGTCATTAAACAATCCGGTATATGTTATTGTTATTGGTGTAATTGTTGTAGTGGCCTCGTTAATTCAACTATCCCTTTATTAGGCTTTAAAAATATCTAATTTATAACCAATTGCAACATTTAAATGTGCATTCTGTTTAAAAATCGTACATTCAGGCACAACACTGTATGGTAAAAATGTTTGTAGGTATATTGTTCACTATGGATGTACATATGTATGTATGTATATATGAAAGTGCTTAGTATTTAACATATCATGCTGATCATTCTACTCGGGTTTGTACATACTGCTGTACATAAATAATCGTGCAACTGCTTAACTGTGTGCATTATTATTACAATCATATATTTATATATGTAGGTATGTATATATGTATGTAATTGTTCTTTATATGTAATACATTTTTAATTTAATTATACATACACTTGCATTTTGTTGCATTAGCTTGGCTTATAAAACTATGTATATGCTTGCATGTATTTATATATGTAGGGCGACAATATATATATGTATGTATACGTTTAAAACTTGTTGTTTGTTAAAAATTAAGTATAAGAAAAAAATTACAATTACACTATTCGCAAAAAATAAATATCAGTGCTTATGTTCGTTAACCAACTAAATAAAAATTAAACGGCAATTGTTGCATTTGCCTAGCGAGCGTCCAGCAATTAATTTTTTAATATTTTAAACTATTTTAGTTGATTTGAAATTCGAAAAAATGTACAGTACACACAAAAAGAATTTAAGAATTTTTTTTTTTTGAAAAATTGAGAAAAACGTTTTGAACATATTTTGAAGTCTACTAATTTTCCATGCACATTTACACCAAAAATAAGTCAAACCCTTGATTCAATTATATACAGTTTGTGTTACTTCGGAGCGTGTTTCCGCTTACGAAAAAAATGTTTAATCCATAATGGCGAAAAAGCTGGTGTTTGATTATTCTCATGAATTTCTTTTTTAAATTAAACTGATTTTGTGTATTCGTATTCAGTTATCATCAAAAAAATAATAATTTTCATTGGTTGAAATCTTTGAAAAACTTATTTTTGAAGCATAAAAACAAAACAAAACGTCTGACTCTTGACGAATTGTTGTTTTTGAGTTACCGACACAACCTTATATAACCGAATCACGGTCAATGTAAAAAAACTTATTTTTATCATTACACACAGTAATGAAATAAGCAAACATTAAAATACAGTTAATTGAAAAAGAAAAATAATAAAGCTTAGGCTGGTCGTGGCAAACACGAGTTGGTTCTAGTCAATGGCTACCGTTTTTGCAATTAATAAGTTTACTTACTTTTGCATACAGACATGTATGTATGTACATATACAATATATATAGTTATTTTCCTTTACATTAATAAATAATTTCATACAAGTTAGCATCTTGCATAATTTCATCTCAAATTCTTTACGTACATATGTATGTTTCATATTTCTCAGCACGTATGTATGTAAGTATTAATGTGTATGCATTTCAATATATGTATATTTAACAATTATTGCTTAACACTACATATAAGCCTTATTACTCTTGTTCTGTTTAATACATATTTTGTGTATGTTTATAACTAATACTTTCGCTAAATCTTTTGTTTTTCAACACAACTATTTATTGTTTTATATGTTTGTATGTATGTATGTGCTTATAAGCTTGGTTACAACTGCGCTGCATGTTTACGATATTTTGCAACGATTTGTTTGACTCAACAAGTTGGACATGTGCATCTATGTATGTGTAATTTATTTACATATACATACATATATGATTTCAAGTGTTTTCCATTAATTGCACTTTAAGGCTTATTTCTCACTGATTAACGTTGCATAATTACAATTTCTATTTGTTACTACTACAAGAATATATTGTATATATGTATATTGTAACATACGTTTTAGCTATTTTGTTATTATTTTTATTCAAGTTAACAATTTACTGTCATTAATGAGCCAGTATGAGTTCAATTAAATGATAACATTAAAATATAATACATATAAGTATGTACGTAATACCGTAGGCATTTTGTTTTGACCATTGCAGCAAATGCGTTGAGTGATATTTTATGGTAGCCTCGTATGTGGAGCGCATTTATCTTTCTTCCCTATGAGAAGCTAATAACATTTTATGTTTAATCTTTCTGGAACATACACAATTTTTACGCAAAATATTTAATTTTTTTATAATAATAATTTTTTTGTCTTTTTGGTTGCCTAACGGAATGCTACTCATGCGCAGCAGCACGCAAGTGTCAAACAAAAACTCGGACGGATGTCTGCACATATGCGATGCACAGTGCAAGTAAATAAAAATACAAAGGAACTCATTTGGAATATTTCAGTGCGTCGCCACAAATATATGCGATAGTTTAAAAAATACTGGAAAGATGAAAATTAGAGCAGAATACTATGCTGTGCATACTAGAAAAGTAAGAAGAGAATTTGACAAGTTGTGAAAATGCATGATAATAGGAAAAAAAAATGAAATTTAACATCTATGTTTGCAATAATGTATATTTTATACTATAAACGTATATTGCAGTTATTGCAGTTACTGCAGTCTCATACAATTTTATATGCAATCAACTAACTAAAAGTTTCGACGTTGCAAAAAGTGAATTATTTGTTGTAATTGCTGCAAAATTTAGTAAAATTAATTGTATTTTAGTATCTCAGCAAACTGATGGCTCTGATTTTATGCTTTTTAAAAGGCTAAACAATTTTTTAACGAGTTTTCGACCGCGAAGTTCGAAATTCTGCAAATAAAAGCATTAAAGTTAAACTAAAATTAAATGGACTTCGTTATCATAGCTTTTTGAACTTATGCAAGTAGCAAAATATATGTATGTGTGTGTCTATAAATAGCTATTACGTGCTAGAGTCTTCAAATGTCTTAATATTTTGTTCAAGCTAGTCTTTCATATGCCTCCTTACAACTTCAAATTAGTATTCTGTTTTAAACATAAAATAAATACATATGTAGCTGCTTATGTGCGAGAAAAAAATCATTTTGTGCGCACTAAAATGTATTTATGTAAGTGTTATGTATATAAAAATGGAAGCTGCCTTTTTTCGCCATTTAATGACTTTTAAAATTTTTTCAAGTTTAATACTTGTTTAGTAATTAATTAAATGCGGATATGTATGTATAGTAAATTTTAAAGCAAAAGGTAAACTGGAATGATACGTCCAATAGCAGTTTTTTCATAAATTATTAGGGCAATGGTTACTTAATAATATTTAGTTCGAAATTTTAACTAACTTCCCTGCAAATACTGTAACTTTACCTCTGCATATACACTGTTATGCATTTTATACTTTTCAACTTAAAACTTTACGCTTAAATACTTTTGTTATTAGCTATAATGTGCCACTTTTCATAACACTAATTAGAACTTGAATACTTTTTGCTTGCAAGCGACTTCTTTTTGTAGTTTTTATATGTCTAAATTATACCTACTGTCTTAATAAATGTGATTATCTCGAAAGATACTGCTCCTATATATGTATATATATATATATAAATGTGCAACAGTATATATAATATTATGTAATACGCATTCCTTGTTCTTAACTTTGATCTTGGTTTAATATTGTTTCAATAAATATGCGAGCTGACTTTCCCCAGTCGCAGTAAGTCTCCACTTGTTCACCCTCCACTGCTGTTTCATCGCGTAAAGGCACTAAGAAAGTGTGCGCCACCCATATCGAACTGCTGTTCGTAACCCTCATCGGCCGCATTTGGCGGCGGCACTAAACTACCGGCTATGGCACTCGCCGCTTTCAACTGATCCATGTCAACCATCATAGGTGGCTTATCGCCGGGCTTCCAGCGCCGATGTATGCCCATCGATTTGAGCTTCTGACAGACCGAAGATGGCGAAATGGGGAAACCTTTCTCGGCAAGGCGTGCCGACACCTTCCAATACTGTATGTTGCTGTCTTCGCGTATGAGTTCGAGTATCTCACGTGTTATCTCCTTGTCGCGTTGCTCGCGCTCGGCCGCCTTTAAACGACGTCGCGGATGCACAAATTTCACCGGCCCGGGAGCTGTGGTGGTTGTGCTGGTGGCCGGTTGCTCGTATTGCGGGGGCGATGCTGATGGTTGTGATGTGGCATAATGCTGTCCGTCAATTAATTGTTGGTGTTGCGCAAGCTGTTGTTGTTCTTGTAGCTGTTGTTGCTGCTGCTGCAGTTGTTGCTTTTGCAAATGTTGTTGTGCTTTTAGTTGTTGCTGTTGACGTTGCAGTAAACGCAAGCGCTCTTGCTGTTGTTGCTGCAAACGTTTTTGTTGCTGCTGTTGCTGGTGTTGTTGTTGTATCTGCAACTGTTCTTGTCGGTACTGCTCCTGTTGCAGCTGCTGCTGCAAGAGCAATTGATGGGCCATTTGTGACTCCATACTTTCCGTAACCGCACCCCCAGCCGCATCGCCGCAAACACTCGACCCATTTGAAGCGCTACGTCCGTCTCTCTTATTGCGATATGACAACGGCAATCCTTTGACAATGGCATCGCGTACCTTCCAAGCGGTCATTTGTGACACATTCAATGCGCGTGCTATTTCCATGGTGGATGCATTCTGTGCGACTAGCGTCTTAGCCATCGCGTATTTCTCGTCGTCAATGAAAACGTTCGGTTTTCGCGGTTTCTTTGCCTGGCATGTGGTGGCAGGCGTTGGGGTCTCTCTAGATTGAAGAAAATGTATTGTCTTTAGTTGATGTTGAGATAAAATAAAGCGTATTTTACTTACTTGCTTGGCGATTCGTTGTTTTGGGCGCCTTGCGGGGTGCGAATCGATAGATTCACTGGGAGTTGGTGACTGGAAGAAAGCAGAAATAATACTATGGAATGATTTTGCCGCCATTTTAACGGTATATACATCTTAAACGATACTAAGTATGTTAAATACGTACAGAGTGGTGGCGGCTGCGGACGGAAATTGAGTGATAACTGACTGAGCTACACTCTCCTTACTGTGATTCGACAGCTGTTGACGCAGTCCATTCAAGTCCTTCGGTGTTATAAGCCCCGGTGCAACAGCGCCCTCCATTAGCGATTGTGAAAGTGCTGCATTTGTTTGTATTACATTTTGTGGGTGTTGAATGTGCTGCTGCAGCTGATAGTTTTGTTCTAGTTCCCGTTGTTGTATTTGTAATTTTTGTGCTTGATCTTGTTCCGACTTCTTAGCATCATCACTTTTTTCTACAGAATTATCAGTCTCTTCATCGTCATTATCATCACCGTCGTCACCATTTTTGTTATCTTCATCTTCTTCGTCATCATCATCATCGTCATCGTCGTCGTCATCGTCATCGTCATCCGAATCGTCGGAATCACTGTCAGAATCGTCGTCATTATCGTCATCGCCCTCTGCTTTATTCGCATTAACATTTTGCAATTGCTGTTGTTGTTGCAATTGTAATAACTGTTGTTCCATCAGCTTTGCCGTTAACGCTGACTCTTCAGCCTGCAGCTGTTGTTTCTCCGCTGCTGCTGCTGCATACTGCTCGTGGTGCAACTGTTCGCGCGGAGCTTCCAACGTTCTAGCATGTGCTTCGTTATTTTCTTCCTGCTCGGCTTTAGCTGCTTCATTTTCACGTCTAGAATCCACTTCTCCACCTTCACCATCCTCGGACTCATCATCACTCTCTGACTTTTCCTGCTTCACCATACGTTGCATTTGCGCAAACTGATCTAACGGTTGTGCTAAGGGATATAACCGCGGTAGCTGCTCAGTGCTGTCGGCTACCATCGGCTGAGCTGCCGTTTCGTCGCACTCCTCGCCATTGTTGTCGATGACACGCTCATGCAGGCTCACCCCATTCACAAGACTCTTGCGAAGACGCCAAGCAAAGGTGCGCGAAATATTCAACTCATTGGCTATAACGGTAGTGGTGGCTTCCCGGAGGATAAGCTGTTTTGCCAGAGCAATTTTCTTCGAATCCAATTTGATACGAGTACGTCCTTTGCGCTTATTATTGGCAATATGAAGTCTTTAAGAAAGGAAAATAATTTTAGGTTATGTTTCTTGTAAGCATGCGTGTGTCTGAGAGTGTATGTATGACTATAAAATATTACTCACTTCCTATTATGCAGATAAAGCGCATTCTCGGGCTTACGTATGCCAACACGCTTCGGAAAGTTGTTGTACTCCACGATGTTCTGCTTCAGCAGTTGTTGTAATGGCCTGCAAAAATATTGACAGTATTATTTCCTTCAACTTTAGAACTAAAAGCAAACAAGAGAATAATTTTGACTCACATTTTGGCGGCTCGCGACGGACAACCTGTGCGTTTATGCCAGCCCAAATGGTGTCCGGTGGGGAATAGCACATGACAATCGGAGCACTGCATTGGACGCCTAAAGCAAAGAGAAATTTGCAATATTAATCTTCAATAGTTTCCAAAAACAACAATACTAACGTTTGATTGCGTCGCTTCTTGACGCAACGTCCGCGCCGCACATGCTTCTCGAGGAAACGCTTGTAGAAATATGTCTTCTTGCAATTCGTGCACTCATAAACGGGACCCTGTGTGCCGTGTACGCTCTGCATGTGCGCTTTGAGTATCTGCTTCATTTCGAATATTTGAAAACAGTCCGGACACTGATAACCGCGCAGTGCAGGCTGTTCGACGCCACCGTAAGCAGGTATGTTGTTGTTATTAGCGCCACCGACCACCGCCACTTCATCGTTTGGTGTTAGTAGCTCCACTTCGGGCATAAGCGGTAGTGGATCCTCTTCATCATCGTCAGCACCGGCATCAGAGTTCGCGCCACTATTGCCAGCTCCGGTGCTCTTATGTGAACCGTTAATCTTACTCAATTGCTGTTGCATGTACTCGTGCATTAGTCGTATGGAATGAAAGTCGAACGGTTGTTTGCCGTACGGAAACTTTATTTCACCATCGTCCTCTTCGATCATTACGCCATTCGAGTGTCCACTGGCGCTGATATGCGTTTGATCGTGTGGTCCTTCGCCGTCGCTGCCGCCGTAGCTTTCCATAGCGGCCACTTCGGGCACTTGATCGGTGGAATCGACTTCCGGTTGCGCGGGCGTCGCATTGCTCCCAGCCGACGTGCGACTCTCGAACTTTTGTATGAGTAATTGCTGGCGAAAGAAATTGTCAGCATCTTCGCACTTCTTCTTGAAGAGACATGCGGATATAGCATTTTTGGCACATGTCACACACACCTGTTGCGGTAGGGTGTCGCCTTTTTCGATCTGCAATAAAAATGTGAGAGTGAGGTTAAGTAATTGTTTCAAAACCGTAGAGTTTAACATTGTTTAAATTTAAATATACATATGTACATATATACTCATAAGTCTCATTGAATCGTTTTTCATAAGAACTGATCCCCAATAACTATCTAAGAACCTAAAATAAAAGAATAATCATCTTACAGAAATGAAAGGCTCTTTCAAAAGTCTTAACTATAAAATATTTATGTGCATATATATATATATATCTATGTACGTATGTAAAAAAATACGAAATAATGATTTCGTGATCATACTGATCGCAAGAAAGAAGTCACCCATATAACCTTAACCAGATGTTTACAGAAATCGTATAAATTATCGTTTGCTTACTAACATACGAACTAATTAGCATAGCATAGCAAGTTCTACTTTTGATTTAATGCGTTTATTTGTTAGTGTATACACTGTACATATATTTACATATATATATTAAACTCATAAAAATCCAACACTGAAACATCATTTTAAAAAAGAGTAATAATAGCAGAAGATTTATTTCAAAGAAAAACATTAGTTTTTTTTTTTAATTTTTATTATTGGGAGCGATTTTCCAACCAACGAAAATTTTCATTTTTGTGATACGATTTACATTTATTTTCAAAATAAACATCAGCCTTGTCGATTGACATCTTCATTGCAAGGAAATTTCTCTGGGGTTTATATACTCAATGAAAATTATTTCATTGTCTTCCCAAAATATCGAGACCATAACTTTGCTAGCGAACTGTTGTGTCTTTCCACATTTAAGATAAGGTTCATCACGTGCTATTCACTCGGATGACTATCGATTGGAAAAATGGAGCCATGCTTAAACTCATGTCACATAACCACTTAATAATTTGGGTTTATTACCATTGAACTGCTGAAATGTATACATGAATCTTTTGAAGGTTAGGTCTAACGATGACACATCGTAAAAACAATAGGAATTTCTCAGTAATTGTTTGTCTATCTATCCACCCATATTAAAATACTTATCATAAAAAATCATTTTTAAAAAAACTTCCACTAAATAGTATCACATTTGACACTCGGAGAAAGGCATTCGCATTCTCAATGTTCATATATTTAAGAAAACACAGAAAATATCGTTCCGGTGAATATTTTCGAAGTTACACGCGTTGAAAAGTCGTTTCAGAGTTTTATACCCCATGTAAAGTGCATTCCAAACGTTAAACGCGTTTTTCTCAGAATAGTGTTTTCAAAGTCGGTGACCAACATTACTCGAGAATGGCTAAACCGATTAGTCTAAAATTTTAGCACGAGCATCTTAAATATATTTTTTAGTAATTAATCGAAATTTTTTCTCTCCGATAAATATTTTTGTTTTTATAAACAATTAAGGCCGAAATTTTAGTGCAAAATCGTTTTTTTTTTTTTTGAGAAACAGCAAATTTTGTCAAAAATTTTTATTTTGCTTATTCCTTCGATTAATTACTAGATTTAACATTACTTTAACGAAATCTGTTTTGTTTTTTAGTTTCAGTTGATACAGTTCAGAGATATAGTGGTCACCGCAAAACGTCTTTTTTGAGAGGAGCTCCCGGAGATCAGCTGTAGCTCTTTTCCAAATAAATAGTTTTTGATAGTACTAAGTCTTAAAATATAGTTTAAAGCTACTATAATAAGTGTATGAATTTTTGAATCAATAAATTTAAAAGTTTTCTCAGAAAAACTTCTGTAAAATTCACTTTTTTTCGGCCTTCTAACTGTATATAAGCCCATTAAACGACATTTTGAAATCCATAAGCTTCATTTGCTTGGCAATAAATAGCTCAAAAATGGTATCACGACATTTGACAACACACGAGTATAATGATCTGCTACCGATATATTGATCTCAGACAATAATTAAGACTAACTTAATGAAACGTCTATTGCAAAAATATTTATAAGATTATTTAATGTGCGGTTGCGCCTGAGTTCAGCTCTCTCTAATATTTTTTGACTTTTCTTTAGAAAAATATGGCGTGTGATATTTTTGAAACGACGGTTTATACTCAACAGATACTTTACTTAATTACGTAATTTCAATTGTATAACATATTCACATACACAGGCACACACACATAAACACATATGTATAAATATACTCACACCATGTATAAATAATTAGTCGAAAGGAAATTTGAATTTATTCAACTTAGCAAAAAAACTAGATAATAAATATTTTGAAGAAAAAATTAACGGGAACGGAAAACACGAAATGTAGATAAATGCCAATGTGTGTGTGTGCAAACATGTATTTGTAGTAGTGCACAAATACTTGCAAAAATTTCAGTGTAAAGAAATAGTTACAATTTGTTTGTTTAAATAAAAAATTATACACCGTATAAATAAATTCAGCTCCAGTCGTCAACGTTGCGCATAATTTATACATATTCACGTATGCATTTAAGCATGTGTGTGTGTGTGTGTATATATCATATCTACATATTCATTAAAACGGAAAACATGTGCAGCACAAGAAATGTAGAAGAAGTTAAATTAAACCACATATAAATTTATCTATGTGTGAGTGTGTTTAAAATAATTGGTATGTACAGAAACGAATGTCGGAAACATTAATATACAAACATAATAACTGTGGCAATCTATTATATTAAGTGGGCTAAGTCTACTTAAGTTTAGACGTGTATTTCGCTTGTTCGTAAGCATTTTCACATATTCTTTACATATACAATATTTTATCGTAATTTAAAGCTTCTGTTCCGTGCCTTCTTGGGCCTGTTTAAAGGGGGATAAGGTAAATTTGCCGGCAGCTTTGGTGAATTGTTTGTGACGATACAGGTAAAATCGTTTTATCAAAACCAATCGTATATTAGAGTGTCAAATTCGAAGAATACTGTTCAAAATTTTCACGAAATTATTATAAAAAAATACGACACTAGCGGCAATTATTCGAACGTGTCTCGGAAAAAAGTACATTGTACATATGTACATATGTATGTTTGCGGTGCCTCTCATAATTTGGGGCTGGACCATCCAAATAGTTGTCCACAGGAAATGCCAGTAGCATTTTTCAATAACTAAATTATTATTTTCACTTTTTTGGAACACTTTCAAAGGAAACCACGAATTTTGCGAAAAATTTTGTTATTGTAAAATAAAAATTATTAACAAATTTGAAAACAACTATACAAACGATTAAAATAAAATAAAATAAATTATTTCAATATTAAATATTTAGGGGCACAAAAAAATCGATTTTTTTCATATATCGATAGGTAATAGCTTTAAAAATAACATATTAAATTTTAAATCAATATCTCAAAACTAAATTTTTCAAATGTGCTAGACAAATAAACCGTTCACTATCAAAAATTTTCTAAATGTTCTGCATATAGTTCTCCATACAGTGACCTACCAGTTGGTTTATCCTGATTTTAGTAAATCAAAACCGACCATAATTTTGAGTAAACTTTAACTTTTTTTAAACGCCGCGATTTTGTAAATTTTTTATTTATTTTTTCGTTCTTGGCTCTTTGCACAGACAATATGATCTAGTAAGATTTTTTTAGGTTTCATCCACGCAGAAGACATGCAGCAGTGAAATTCCCATCTTTAGCATTTCGACGAACGCGTGTAACTCGAAAAATATTTAATTTTTTTTTTAATTTTTTGTTTTAAATAAAATAATAATACCTTTTAAATTTTAAAACAACTGATAGATTATTTTTATTTCCAAAAATTGCCTTTTATAGGCAGTCACACTAGGTCTGCCTCTTAATACCTTACTCCGCTCTAAGAATACAAAAAATACCTTTATTCTGAAATTGGTTCGAAATATTTCAAATAATTATTATTAACTTAAGTCGATTTATGCAATTTAACGTATGTACATAAGTATGTATGTATGTACTTATATATAGTATAGAATTATATACAAATTATACTATTAGGGGAGTGAGGTGCAATTTATAAAAGTAAAGTTCGTTGCACGGCATTATTTCATTGGCAGCAAATAAAATTGTTAAATAAATTAATAGATGTTCTATCTACATACATACGAGTATTTACATATGTATGTACATCCATACAAACATACTTCTTTACATTTGTACATGACTAACTGCCAACTACTCTTTATTAAATATGCATTTATTTCCTCGCATAAAAATATGTGCGCACTTGTATGCATGTGTGTGCGTGTGTGTGTACATTACTTTCATATGCACACCTCATTCCATACGAAATACTCTTCATTTACCACTCCGCACCTCACTCAGCACTCAACCCAACTCGGCCTTACAAAGTGGCGAACGTTGGATATTTAGCCACATTAAACCACACGACAGATGTGGCAGCGTGTTGCGAACGTCGAACGTTGAGCGTTTTTATTTTTATTGTTTATTGTATTATTTAGTTGTTGAATTTATGAAATCAACATAAAAATGCTGCCATCATGAAGCCAAATAAAAAGACAAACAGCAATTCGAACGGTAAATCTTATAAAAAGTAGTCATAATAAATGCGAAATAAAAAGAAAAAAATAATAAAAATGCAATAAAGAGAAAAAAATATATACCGCAAGAGCACTAAACATAAATAGGCAACAACAAAGGTGAGTGCCAACGACTAGCACATTAAGCCGGGCATGGGCAAGCAGCGAATATTGTACGATAAAAACTTATGGACTGATAGAAAAGTTCGACAGACAGAAACTCGCATGATTTTATTATACAAACTTACTAGCTTATATATTTACATCATACATTTATATAAAATAAAAACGTTTATTTAAATGTGATTGTGTATGTGAGTATAGAACACCTGTAAGCGTGAAGAAATTTGAGAATAGAATATCTTATGTCGAAAAAAAATGAAATGTGAAAAGGAAATGTAAATGTAAATGCGTAAAACTTTGAAACCCACATGGCACGCAGAAGAAAGGGGTGGGAACACACGAAAATCATATTAATGAAACAAATACACACTTAAATATGTATGCATGTGTGTAAAAAAGTAAAAAATTTAAATGAAATAAATAACTATCTATCTAGGTATGTATATCATACACGCATACGTACAAACACACATACATAAATACATACATATGTATATATGTATATACTAAAATGGTTCTACGAATGAATGTACACCAAGAGTCAAGTAAAAGAATTTGAAACGCATAAATTATATACAAAGCGATATGAACAAATGAATATCTGTGTGTCTGCAACCCAGTCGATCCACAAACTACGTTAATACGAGTATTCCTATAGATGCACACACATATATGCCGATACAATCATAAATTTTTTTCGTTTACGAAAGAGCGTAAGGAACTGTGTACACAATAAAATACATGGAAAGAAATATAAAATTTTTAAATAAATGCATATTTGTACAAAAGTATTCCGCTTTTATTACACACACACATGCATGCAGGCATTGCATAGGGGCAAAGTCGCGCTTGTTTACACACACACACTGGCGCACTCGCATACAGACGTCCAATATTAATTGGAAAGAATAATAAAATAATTTAGAAATCATTTCGGAAATATAAGTTTTTATGATGGAAACGCATAAAGGGAGGACTGAACAAAAAACAAAATTGGAATAATGTTATACGAGAATTAAATAGCTGCTTGTTTCGGCGAGCACGTACGCAATGGTGCGGATGCGCAAGCGCGTATTTTCTTGCTGTGTAAATAAATATTAATGTTCATTTAAATGGGTGAATGTGTTCACACATATATGTAAATACCAAGAAATGCATATGCATGTGTGTACAGTTATGGACGAAACAATAAAGTCACCCAGAAAATAATACAATAAAAAACAACTATTAGAAGGAATTAAATGCGTAGGAAAACTTATAATAAAATGAAACAAATGAAAACTTTTCATAAAAATTATAAAAATTAAAATAATTTTTTTAATGATTTCACGATCCTGTTTTTGCTTTTCACATCACATATCTAAACAATTTTAAGGAAATTAACTGCATATTATACATATACAAAACTGAAATATACGGAAAATACTGACAATATATATTTTGTTGATGAAAAAAAAATACAATAATAAACACACTGACCCTATTGCCTGGGCGCTAGGACGTTATTCATTAATTTTTGGCTTTTATTTATTTTACTTTTTGTTTTGAGTGTGAATGTTTTTAAGAACCATGATGTCCACTAATAAGTTCCCTAAAGCACTCAATGAATTAAATTAAACTTACAAAGAGTGACTCTATTATTTTGTACATAACTGTATGTGTGCACATAAATTAAGTTTTATAAATAAAGTAACGTACGGTGAATTATTTAGAAATTTTTTAGGTAAACATTTAATTATACATAACTACATTTGTTAGGCGAAAAGCTGAAGCGGGCAAGTCTGGGCTGAATTATGCATTGTGAACAATAAACAGTTATACGAACCTTTCTCAAACAAATAAAAGAAAATAATAATCGGCGCAGAGAAATTTGAAGTTATAAAAATACGCATTCATACACAGATATGTATGTATTTATGTATGTATTACGTATTTATACAATAAAACTTCCCTACTTAAAATGTTCGAATACAAACTTCATTTATTAGTGCATATTTCGAGTTTGTGTGTATGCAACAAAAGAAATTTATTTATGTATTTTTGTAGAAATATAAATGTACATATAATAATGCGGAAAATATAAACCACTTTGTGGAATGTGTGTCAATAAATACACATGTACATATTTATGTAAGTATGTACATACGTAAGTTTATAGTATTTTCCGGCTAGGGTGAACTATTGAATTCAATTTATAATATTATTGTATATTGTATGTATTCAAAAAAATCAAATGTATTTACATACATACATACACACATACCTATATATGGCATACATCTGTATATATTTTTCCTATTATCTGAGAAACTTCTAATAATAATAATTTATATACATTCTTAGAGCGAAGACTTTACACAATAAATTAAGCATTATACCTAATTTATGCTGTTCATAATTCAATGGCCAGAGACTGTATTTGTATAGCTTTAATCGATATATTCGGTTTTTAAAGATAAAATGAAGATAGTTCGTCAAGTAAAAGGGTTTTAGATTTAATGACTTGATTTTTATCCTTCAGTTTGTATGGCAACTATATGCCAAGTGGTTCGATATCGCCGGTTTTGAGAAATTAGCACTTTCTTGAAGAGAAAAGAACGTACATATGCAAAATTTCAGCTCTATATTTCAAACACTGAGGAACTAGTTCGAGTATATAGAGACGTACAAACGCTAAAACGCCTCAGCACGTCACGCTGATCATTTATATATATACATTCTATATAGGGTCTCCAACGCTTCCTTCTGGGCGTTACAAACTTCGTGGCAAACTTAATATACCCTATTCAGTGTGAGATCATGCTGTCAAAATAATTTTGTATCACTTCTTCCAACCGATTTTATCTCGCTGCAGTATACTAGACATAAATGTCAAACACATGTACTTGTATTTACTTTGATATCTGGCTGATAGCTGTAAAGCTGTCAACCCCTATAGGAAATTTCACGCTTCAAGACACTCAATACATAAAACTTAAATGGGCTAAAGTGATTAATTTTTCTCGAGAAAAAAAGCACATACTTTTCTGGAGTTTAATAGGTTTTTAGAACAAACTTAATACTTCTAATATTAAATAAAAATGATAATTGTTATTTTTTTACTTTTTATACTACCTTAGATACTCTTCATTATCAAGTGCTATGCTGAGTACTTTTAAGTATTAAGCAATACTTCCGATACTCGTTACCGTATTTAAAAGCATTTTTCTTGAGCTTGTATTTATCGAGACGGAAATTCTCTAACTCTAGTCAAACTTTGAAACGTGTGAACGACAAGAAACGGCGAACGAAAGGAAAGCACCGAAAGTTTTTAATATTGTTGTAGTTTCTGTTGTAACGATATAGAAACTTCTCCAATAGTTTTGAAAAATTTTGTCGAGCAGAAAGTTCTTAGCCGGGAACAAATACCGGTTACGTACACCCGACTGTCATGAGAACGAATGTTTTGGCATTTAATAACAGTTATTTGTAACCAAAACGAAAGTCGGGTGGTTCAGGAATTGTTTCGAGTGTTTGGTATTGATAAATTTGCTATTCTTTACCATAATTGTTACATTAATAGAATTTATATAAGAAAACAGATACGAGTATTTCGTGTGCTTAACGAAGGATTTATAAAAATATTAGTTTCGTAATGAAATTCATAGCGACTCGTATTATAAAATATACTTAACAATAAGCATTTTTATATGCATGTTTATATTATAAATACAGTTACATATACATACATATATACACATCGTCACCTAAAATAACGTAACATCACTTTTTATAAGTTTACAGGATAAGGAAAAAACGATATAAAATAGAACCTACTCATTTACTATTGAAACAAGTTTTGAATTTTGGTTATAAAGTGGTTATATATGTATGAATGTATATGTAATATGGTGTAACGAATATATTTCAATGTTTTTAATGATACGCTGTTTTGCATGTTATGTTAGGTGACGATATGTACATGTGTATGTACGAGTACATAATTATTTTATACATGATATAACTTTTAAATACACATATATGCATTTATGTACATACATATGCCAGTGCAATTAATTAAAATTTCTGTATTTGAAATACCTTAACATCGGCCAATATGGTGATTTTCTGCCACAGCGAATCTTCGCCAAATATCGAAATCATTTGCGTGCAGCCCACATTCGTTGAGATGCAGATGCGGCAAAGTTGCACATTGTTCGTTTCCATTTTGCAGCTGGCAGCGGTGACGACCGCAGCGGCATTTGCGCCAGTTTACACGTTGCGCGCCCCACCGGCTACGTATGGCCTACGAGATGACAACAAACAACAAAAACACACGCACAAACAAAGTGTCGCAAAGTCACAGCAACACAGTAACGAGAACGCGGAGAACGAACGACGTTGGCAGCTGCAACTGGAGACGCAACTTCGCCAAAACTGTTGCTCTGTTGCACAGTTGTAAATCTATCACCACACTGTGAGTGGGCAAATACGAACGATGCTCCCTTGTGGCTGCTGCTTGCGGCCACACTTCTTCGTGTCTACTTGACGCTTCTTCGAATTGCACAAAGAGTCGACGACTCACTCACTGGCTCTAAGAGGCTGGGAGAATTCGCAAATTAAATATGTATGTACGCGCAAGTGATTTCGCTCTCGCAGAAATGCCAAGAAATTTCAGTGAGCATTAGCACTTATGCGGCTGTGTGTGTGTGTGTATATGAGCTGCTTGCGTGAGCGCGGCTGAGTATGTGCGTGTGCATGTGCGAGCGCTATCCGCAGCGCCACATACACGAATCACGACAGCGCAGCCGACGACGTCACAAATCTTCGTTTAACAAACTGGCTGGTGGGTGGATGGGCGCGTGTGTGCCTCCACCTTTGTCCGCTTGTGTGTTTGTATGTATGCGTGCGCGTTGCGTAAATATGTTTCTTTACTTGTGTGTGTGTGTGCGTTGTATGTTTGATAAGCCGTCGAAAATGTTCAATTACACTTCAGGTGATTTGATTTACACCAAATATATTTGCATACATACACACACAACGGCACGCACAAATCTTCTTTTGCTGCCTTTCACGTTATTTATGCACTTTACACTTTGCTACAAACACAAATTGACAATATCTTTTCGGCTGCAAACACTTCGCCAACACACGATGGCGCACGCACTTTTTAACTGTATGTTTGTATGTTTTTGTATCTGAACACATATGTATGTATGTATATTTTAGAATGTGCAGTCCACTGCGATCAGATCCGATTTGATCAACTGCCAATTCGATTGAAGTCAATCCCATCCAAGTCAATTCAATCCAATAATCAAACCATTCCGAAAACGCAACGAACCAAACCAATCAACGTACCGGCCGACTCTGACTCTGACTCTAAAACTGGAAAAGTAGAGAACATGAAAACTTTTTAATAAATATACGTGAATATACAAAAACAAACACAACACAAACAATACTTTGAAACGTCTACAACAACATCAACAGTAACAGTAACAACAATAACAGCGGTAATAACCAGCATATATACACCACTATTATAAAAGGCAAATGGAAAAGAAAATAAAATACGAACAAGAAATATAATATTCGTAGAAGAAAAAAAAACACAAAAAATCAACATTATAATAATAAGAATTACAAAGAAACAAGCCAGAGCGCGGCTGGGCGACGCAGAGAGAGAGCAAAGTGGAGCGGCAAGACGTAAACAACAAATAGTGGAAATATGTATTTTAAGCACTGTTGGATGGAACCCACTTACACACATAGCTATGTACATACGTTCGTAGAAACATTGTGTCTTCGGCGCACGGCGGCGGGATGGCGGTGAAGTAATGAAAATTTTACAAATACTTAATTCATAGATTGGAACGGGTATGAGAAGTCAAGTCGCACGGGCCCAGGCAGCTATGCATGTACACTGGTGTGTATGTTTGTAAGTATGTGGCGAGCTCTAGCTTTAGCTAACTAACTATTCAACTATGTGGTACACACAATTACTATTTGCTCGTATAATACAATATTTCATTGTTGCTGCTATTATTCCATATTCCATATTCCGTTTTCTTGTGCGACTATGCGCCGTAGTATGAGTATGCATGTGTATGTGTGTGTGTTATAAGACAACTTGGCTCGCCCGCTTTAGACAAACAATTTCGACTTCAACTTTAACGTTTCCATCGACATTTGCTCGTGGTCTCGTTACTTAGTTGGCTTTCAAAATTTCAATTATGTATTTATACAGAAATTTAAAAATTCCATTTGTGCTCGTTTCGTTCCCTATTCAGCAATTCAACTACCCGCTGTCGGTACCGCATACACCCCCTCATCAAACATACACACATTCATACATATGTATACAACAATAACAGCAATGAAAACGTAATCATCGTTATGATTATGATCAGCAATACGACATCGTAATGGCAATGTAAGGAAACTAAATTGACATATGAATGAATGAGTGGAGATACAAGTATGTACAAGGCTTATTATTACATATGCATAAATATGTATGTGTATAGGTGTTTGTGTGCGGTTGCGAATAAGTCAAGAGCCTGAAAAATTGGTGCTGTGAGAAAACATCAATTTGAACTGAAACATTTGCGCATAAGTATGTATGTTTGTATGTTACATACATACATACATATGTAAGCATATCTCCACTAAGGGCATTCACTTTGATTTCTGCGTATTACCAGCACTAATAGCTTATATTACAAGAAAAAAAAAATATAAAACAAGATTTTCTATAGGCATACGGATCTCAGACACTTACGCTTAGAATCAAATACTTATACATGTATGTATGTATGAATGTATTTATGGTGTGTACAAATACGACTTTCCTTTATTAGCTAGATTTCTTTTATAGAATCATGAAGATGATCAGCAAAGAGCTTCAGGTAGTTAGTTAACTATGCATTTATAGTTCTAAGGCCTCAAAGACAGTTTATCAAAAGTGTTAAGATTACAACAACACTGTCATACACTGTTTGGTGTCATTGTACTCATTGCTTAACCAAAGATTTTAAAATTTTATTATAAGATACTTTCGAAAATATTATAAGTAAGTTTTTTATTATAGATGCGATTTTAAAAATAAATAATAATTATTTTTGATTATTTACGTGAACCAAAAGGCAAATGTATAATGATATTTAAATGAAATTTCGATTTATTTTTTGGTCTTACTCTCTGATCAAATTTGACCCGCATTGGTCTATATAAAGTGCGCGCGCAAACCGAATCGATTAAAAGTTTTTGTTGTTTCAAGATTAGTATAACCTTTTTCTATTCGTGTGAAGTTTTAACTCATATGTCAGTTAGTGTTAGTGTGTGTTTGGCAGCTGTTCATTTACGACGCGAACATTTTGTCTGCCGAATTTGACAATGGAAGTAGCACAAAACATTTAGTGAAGGTCGGGAAGTCACTCAAAACATAATAATGACGATAACATCGAAAAGTATAAGGGACAGTGCTTGAATATCGTCGTGTTGGCACACAAAGGATCTCAACATCTCTTCTGTATTGCCTCAAAACATTTTGTTTAATGTTTTTTGTGCATGAAGCGTATCAATACTATACTCGTAAAAAAAACCTAGAATATATTGCAAAAACGACGCCGAGTAAAGGTCATAAAGGAAATGCTTGACAAGATAGCTGAGGACCCTTCATTCAACAAGTGCATCATTACTGATGACTAGACGTGGATCCGCTCCCACGACAGTCGGGTCTACGTAACCGGAACGGACCCAGATTTTATCTTTTTTGTGTGTCGAAACTATTAAATAAGCTGGTTAATGGCGCTCCAAAAATGAGTCGAAAGTGAAAAAAAAAAAATTCGCTGAAGTCGCTGAAAGCCATCCCAGCCGAGGCTTATAATACGTGTATAAAAAAGTGGATTAAACGCTGGCATGCTTGTATTGACTCAAAAAGAGCCTATTTTGTAGACGATAATAAAGATTTGTTCTAAGATACATTAAAACATATTTTTGTCAGTCCGGGTCAAATTTGATCAGATTTTGGTATCTATAGGGTCAAGGAATAATGCTAACTACCTACATACATCCAAAGTAAAATAGAAAGTTTTTATAAAAAGTTGATCACCAATTTTTTAAAGTTGTTGTTTTTATATTTGATAGATGAACAAATATTTCCATTTACAAATATTTTTACGTAGTTCTTCTACTTTTTTAATTCCCTGCAAAGCAAATCTTTTAAAAATATGAAATGATTATAAATAGTTACATATAATATGACTTTTACCCGAAACTCTTTTTATGTAAAGTGTTTCTAAGAACGAGGTATTGTAATATACAAGATTCATGGGCAAAACTAAATATAAACAACTGTTTGTATGTATGTACATATGTACAAATTATATGTTTAAATTTAGTGAGAAATATTTAAAAACAGATAAAAAATCAAATTAAAGTTGATTTACCACAGTAACACCATATACTGACTAAAAGTTAGATATTCCGACAAGATAATATTTATCAAGAATATGCGAGCAAGTCTTTATATACATATGTATGTATGCATGTATATACATGCCTTAATGAACTTGAGAATAAAAAATAATAATTTCATTCCTTGTGTGCACATCTGCTTCGATGTTGGTGAATGTGCTCCCTACCTCCTACCCTCCCACTCAACTGAAAACACAAGTTGAGGCTAGGCTTCTACGTTCGCCTAAATCACATCCTCAATCTCAGCAGCAACACAAAATTTTTCTACTCCGCATGATTTTCTTTTTAATATTTAATGACTCTGTTTGCTTTAAGTACACACATACACGCACACAAACATTTGCACGTACGTTTCACAGCACACAAACGTAAAAGCCTCTATGATTGCTTCCTTAAAGTGTTCCCGCGCGCACCTGAACGCTTGTACACACGTGTATGTGTGGAGGCATAACCCAAACGGCCTCAAAGTTGCCTACTGGTTTACTTAAAATAAATTCATACATACACACATAGCTAGTATCTATTTGTACAAAAGCGTACGTAAATCCTCAGCGAAACGAGTTGGAACGAAACGAACGAGCATAAACAAATATTACTAAACACACATACACACACATTGAAAATTGTAATATCCGCATGTACAAAAGTATATTAAATCGGAATGCGAAAAACTAAAATCATAATAAATTGGAAAATGAATTGAAATTACAGCAACACGTCAGCCGCATTTATTGGCGCTCTCTCTCTCTCTCTCTCGATGCATTACACGTACTCAAGCGCTCACTTGCCGGTCTCACCGAATGTATTTCGTTGTATTTATGTGTGCTTGTAACTCTGAGCGCATAAGTGCTCCATATATGTTGGCTCCACATGCCAGCACATGAGGAGGTAGTTTTTATTATTATTAAATAAACACCGCACTCATTAACTCTCTTTTAGGCGTTTGAGCGCTCACTCTCTCTGTGTGATTGCTTTAATTGTAATGCCATGAGACATTTTCCTTCTTCCGCTTTGAATTCTTTAGAAATTCATGCCGTTCCGTTTGCCCGTCCAAAATTAACGTCGAACATTCGCTTCGGCAAATGAAACTAACTAAAATTACTTAGATGTCGAAATAAATGGCTGCGTTTCGGCTTGGTCGTTCTGGAGCAACGAGCTAGAATTCAGCTAAAATCCAACGCAGTGTATTAACCTTAGTCAACGTATTGTTGCCAACTTGTAAACTTAATAAAAATGGTAATTTGGGATAATCATATTACTGTTTTGGTATGGAACGTGAATTATTTTTAGGTAGACAAAAAAAAAGGTCAAACACTGAACAGTGAATTGATGAGGTGTATGTGCTGTAGGTTATTGTTATTGGCTGGCATAAAATTAAAATGTTATGACTCTTGGTTAATACTGAAAGTTTCCGATTCGCTACGAGCTGGTATTAGTAGATGAAGGCGAAGTGGAGAAGAATTAAGCATTACGAGCTGCCTCGAATTGATTATGGCATATGTAACTTATCAAATTTAAAGAATGATATTAGTCAATGTTTCTCCAACTTGCGCATGAGCGAGAACATTTTTTAAAATATTTATGCATTTAGAAGAGTTCTGCGAGTGGTCTATAACAATAAAGAAATTTAGGATGATGACTTAACCAAATTTTTGCTTTCTAAGCAATATTTCTGATATTTTAGGAAGTTGCCTTTTAAAAAGTTTATTATCAGTTCTTGATAAGCAAATTTAAAATCTTCAAGTGTTTTTGACCAAGTGGCAGTTAAGCTAACTGAAATAATTTTTTTCTTTATATCATAAGTAAAACTCTAGGAAAATATATAGGTATTATATACAAAATTTATACAAAAGTGTGATTTAACACAATTTTTTTTTAATTCACAATCACACTACAATGTGGTAACA